GTAAGGAGACAGAGAAGGCTTGGGCACTCAAGGAAAATGTGGAAAACATACAACATTTAGATTAGAAGATGGGTAGTTAAGAAAATCAGAAAATTAAAGTTTCCTAAAAATACTGTAAACCAAAGACTAAAGCAAACTATCTCTACAATAGTAATATACTAGAATACTTTCTGGTTTCCATCCTTACACAGTGTTAGCGCTTCTGGCAAAAATGCTGGACTGCCTTGAGGAAGAGGTCAGATACCAATGAGCCATGAAAATGGGTCAGAATCATCAGTTCTGACTTCCCAGAAATTCTATTTAAGCTACAGTGCCAGTCAGCAGCAGATATGTGGCTGTTTCCATGCCTCTCTCATTTACTTCATAAAAGCAGATTACCCCCCCCCAATTTTGCTTCCTACTATGAGAACTATGCACAAAAGAAGCAGCTGACAAGCACCGTGACACGGAAGAAGAGGTAGTATAAATGTAGTGAGATCCAACATAAGCAGCAAATCCAGAAAGAACTGAAACAGTAAACAACAGTAGAATTCAATTTTCAATTCACTATTTTATTACATCTGGGCATCTGAAGCACCAATGAAGTTGCTTAACCTGTACCGAGATGAAAGCACCACAAAAACATTCACTCAACAAGCTCCTATCATTTAACAATCCCAAATGCCTTAGCATTAATTCTACACTTGCAAAAAGGAGGAGAAAAATCTATTCTGGACATGAGGATATATGTTCTAGCAGAAGGTGAATATGCCCTGAAAACATAAGCACAGGGGTGCAAAAGCAAGGAGGCAAAAAGATGATAAAAAAAGCTGATGAAGCAAAGCAAAAAAATCCAGTGACCCTGCAAGTCTGTGAAGCCTCCAAAACATCAGGCTCTTTGCTTTGGTCCCATCTTCTGCCAATAAATCAAAAAAAGCCCAAGAATCCATCTGCAGATTTAGCGAGTGTTTCAGGGCCTAGGGAAAAGTCAAATCAACTTGTGGTGTTCTGCTTCTCGTATAATGATAAAAGCACAGCTACCCTACATGGCTCCAATACAGCACAAAATGGCAGTGCCTGCAGCCTCTGAGCAGCTCTTCAGCCAGACAACATTAAAGACAGAAGAACACTTGTGCCAAAGGTAGTTAATATAATCACATTGCATTACAGTCACTGTAGTGATACTGGGCAAACGTTATGTTGCATGAGGCTATACAATAATTGGGCAGTAATCAGTAAAAACATTAAGTCCCTGTTTTACTACTGCTTCATCACTAGCTATAAAACAACATCCTAATAAAGAGCATAAAACTAAAAAACCCTGAGATTAACAAGGCATGTTATGGCCGTTTAGAAGTAAAAGTCACTTTAGCAATATAAAATTGAACAATACTATTTAAAAGAATGAGCAGAGAAGATTTACTATTCCTTATTAAAAAAAACCCAGCAGCTATTCAGAGGGCCTGGCCTGGTTACCACAGTGTATATGTCAAACTGGTAAGCAAAGCACAGCACATCCATGCTCACCAATAAGCACTATATATTGGATAGCTGACTATAGCACCATCAGTCTCTAATTACACAACCTTGCATAGACAATCCTAACCACTGAGGGGAAGAAAGAGAGAGATAAACATTAGAAAAAGCTTTGGACAATATTCAGACATGAATTTTGACTGTACAAGTAGGTATATTTATGGCAGAGTCCAAGAATGATTAGACAAGCCATTAGAGAATCAAAGTGCCTCCCTCCAAGTTGCTTTTAGCGGGCTCTAAATACATCACCTCATTTTTAGTAGGGTTCTGGTATCATGTGCAGTTAACGTATAATTATTACAGAACTGTGATTGCATCGTTAGCAGAAGTTTAATTATATCATTGACATTAGTGATGCCATAACATCAAGCTCAATAATAGTTCATAACAAAACCTACAATTAGCACAATTTTTCCTCCCTTTTACACCAATCAAAAGCGTTCAGCTTGGAGAAGCCTAATAGTCCATACAGAGTGAGCTAGGGCTGAACCTGAAAGGATTGCTGGCTGGTAATTTAGTAATATGGTAATTAAAGTCTTTTCATGATGTAATTACACATCAACTACAAAAGGACAGCTGCTATACAACACTGCCAGGGTACGTGGCATGAAATGATTAGATTTGAGAAGCTTTGGTGGTTAAACTGAATACCACAGACATAAGTCTGAGGTATAGCTGGCACCGCATAGCACATTATTATTCAAGTCTCACACTTGGTGTTTCCTTAGTCTCATTGTGATAGTAACAGTTTGTTGTACGTACCTTGGTCCTGTGACAGCAGAAGCTGTTCAAAACCCACCTTTAAAAGCTTCAGCTGTTTTGAAGTTGCCTGGAATTAAAAGACCTAACCTTCTTCTGGGCAGAGGCAGTACAAATTAGGTTTGCATGAACTGAAAATGTTTGTTTCCCACCCCTGCAGCACAAAACCTCCTCTCACAGACTCTAGTCTGTGGGAAAAGTAGCTTGATTTATTTGTAGGCTTTTTCCTGTACAGAAGCAAAGAGGGGAGAAGGAGAATGATGACAGAGAAGAGGCACAAACGAGTAGGTGAACTCAAAGAAACTAAAGCTTGACTGAAGAACTGAGGGGTTTGGCATCTGGTTCTAACAGCAACAGGCACAAGTCCCCTGTCTGGGTGAAAAAAAAAAACCCACCCTTCTTCTCAAGCACAAACTTTTTTTTAAGTAGTTTCCTTATTCTTTTTCTCACCATCCTCATTTCTAGCTGTACAAACCATGAAGCTGACCATGCAAGCCATGAGACAGCAAAAAGGAACATATTTTTCCAACTAGAACGAATAAAACTTCTTGGCTACGTGACTGGGCTCTTAAAAATACAGGAATGCACTGTGCACCCTGGCAGTAGGCAGACAACCTCAGAGTTTCTTTTCTAGTCCTAAAATGTCCTTTTACTGAGGAGGAGCAACTTGGATGTTTCGCAATAGCAGTTTTTCTCCTGTTCTGAAACATGAGAAGGGGGAATTTGGTGGGAGAGGCGCCCAGATCAACTGATCGTCTACACTTTAAAGCTTTTATTTTCTTGAGCTCTGAAAATATAGAAGTGAGCTTATTTGAAAGTGAAAGATTTTTGGAATCCAGAGAATTCTCCTCAGCATGCAGAAGGTTTCTGAGGCCCATTTGCAAAGTGCAAAACCAACCTGTTTTGGATCTGGAGGGACCTTGTTACCTACAAGACACGAGGAATGAATAGAAAAATTTGAGTCCAAGTTCAAACAAGACCCAGCCTTGCCAACAGCTTCCCTTCTAATTCCTGTTCTTCCTGCTTTTCTGCAGAGATGTTTTTGATGGGCTTGATGAACATTCAAAGCCTATTGAAGACTTAGTGGTTTTATCTACAGTGGATGCTTGGGCTAATTCAAGATCACCAACAAGAAGTTTCTTCCCGTTGGGTTTCAGAAGCTGCTCTTGGGAAACACATGAGGAATCCTGGGGGAACTGGGAGCAGCCAGTCATTTAAGAACAAAGATCTCAACTACTCAAAAGTAGGTCCTGCATGGCCAATTTTACACAGCACACTTTTAAGAGACAGTAAAGCAATTTAGCCAACCCAATGGAAAAGACTCAACTGTACTTCAAGTACAACAGCACGGGAAAACAGGATTATTTCTAATCCAATGGCAAAAGAGATAAAATTTAGTGCAGCTAGTGGTTCTGATGACTAGATAGGTAGCCTACTCAAACATGTTTGCAGCTACTCTGTGAGGGCTCATTTGACATGAAAAAGATTCAAATGTCACTTGTCAAGAGGAATTGGGTGAGCAATTTGCCATATAAACAGCAAATTCAGCTTATTGAGAACAATCACCAACATGAAAAGAATAGGAACCTTATGCACAAAGGATTTATCTAACTTTCTACGCAGTTTAAAAGGGCAAGAGGCAACAAAATTGTTAGGTTTAAACTACAAACATTTTGCAGTTGACTGCTGTGTCTGTAAATACATTGTGCACACAGTGCAAAAAGTTAACTGTGTGTGCGCAAACCTCAAACACAAACGCGTAACTGTATCAGTCTTCACCTAAAGACAACGTGGTTCAATACCTTTGCAGACTTCCATTCCTCAGCTGCTAACTAAGAAAACACAACAGCAGTCTATATCATGCCGGGAACTATTGTCCCTAGCCTGTTTATGTCAAAAGAAACATGTGAAGGTCTAAAGTCTTGCAAGAACAGCCTCACCTCTCTCTGATGGTGATATGGGTAGAGAGAGAGAGAGAGAAGAAAAGAATGCAAGTGAGAGATTTCTAGTATGCTCCTAGCTTTAGCTAAATCAGAAGACAACGAAAAATCTTCTTGTCATGAGTCTTCAAGCATCCAACTTCCAAATATAACAAAGCAGTAACTCTTGAACACAGTGTTCAGTTCTGAGAAACAGACAAGTATATGAGCTAGAACAGGACACAGTAAAAATCCTAACCTGTGATAGCCCCTTTCCCTCCTCTCCTCCCTGCTGCAGGAGTAGCAGTTATTTGCTTACAGATTATTACCTGCGATTATATAAAAATCTGAGAGGCACATGGCCTTCCAAGACTAAAGCTGAGGACAGGAGCCACAGGACTTTCTACTGAACCAATCCAGCCCTACCAGCTGTTCCAGATCAAGTCACCTTGTCAGTGTTCAACACACAATTCTACTGCACACCCAACATCTCTTCTGTTTCAGTGGCTCTTTAGCATCTTTCCGCTTCCCTGAAACCATCAAGTCATTCAGAAACTGCTACAGGGCCAGAAGTGTCGTCAACCTCCCTCATTGCAACCACCACTCGACAAGTGTGGTTATACACTTGATATATAGATACTGGAAGCCTATTACTGCCATTTGCATTAATTTCCGTGAGAGCCGTTAAGCGTCCAGCCAAGAAACAGAATCCTCTTGTGATACTGTTTGCAACTAAGGAACTTGATAACACCAGATCTAGGGAGTTTGGGGTGAAGGAACAGGTGGGGGGACACCACATTTACTCACCTGCTATCACCAGCGTTTGCCACATAAAGCTTCCCCAATAAATACACCACCACAAGGGCTGTGCAGCCGCCAGAAATACTATACACCGTCCTCTCTCGTTCTATTTGCAAATCCTATGGGAAGAGAGAACAAGATTTATAAAGACAGCATAGCAATTAATGTTTTAGAAAATGAAGATTCCCCTAAAAAAAACAGAGTCTTTCTTAAACTGCATGTCCCACTGGCTTTCTTTACTGTTGCAGCTATGGCTACATGGTCAAGGACAAGAACAGAAAGTTGAGGAGTACCTACTACTTATGACACAAAGAAGTTCAGGAAAAGTCAGGAGAGGAGACTGTAAAACATCAGGCACCAAGGAACAAATGGCAGCTCTGAGGGGTGCAAGGGAATTTGCTATGGAAAAAGCACAATGAAGGCAAAGATAAATGTAGCTTAACAACAGGTACCTGGTGGTATAATTGGAGAGCGCTTTACGTAGACAGCAAATAATTAATGAGACCTAGCTACAACATGAGTAACTACCGGCTCTCCAAAAGGGACGCCAGGATTGCAGATCATATACCTTCACAAACAGCAGCAAGACACACTCATGCCACAAGGCTCCCCTTCAGAAACACCAGGAACGGGCAGACAATAAACTAGTTAAGGGAGTGGGGGGGAAGGTCAGTAGAACAGTATTTACTGAAAAATACTATAAGCATTCACAGACTTTCCAAGATGAAACACCGTATTTAACCCTGCGTCTCATCACCCTGCTTTGATGAGGTCCTGAAAAGACTCAAATTTTTATGCATGTGCACAGGCTCAGATTTAAGGAGGTACGTACCTACTCAGATAGTTCTTCCTGTTGTTTAGCTTCCAACTGATTCTAAGTGTAAGAAATATTACATATAAAAAAAGCGCTCCTGCTTAATAGAAGTGGAGAACACAAGTCACGTCTGTCACCAACAATCAATCAAGCCCAGGAATGAAAAAAATACATAAATATACACACACACGCACATATATATACATATATAGTCCCAGGAAAGCTTGGAGAACATAAAGGACACAAGTAAATGAGCTATTTTCCAGTACTCCATACATTTTAAACAAAAATTAAAGTATATGCCTATGAATTTGTTCTGCTTCCTCTTAGTTTAGTTTGGGGTAATAACACAAAATGTTACAAATTACCTTCCTCTCCTGCGTCCAGAATCAAATCCAATTTCAAACTGGTCTTTCCATGTAAGACTGGATTCAAACAGGGATCATCATTTAACATTGCTATTGCAAGTACTGGCAGATCTTTTCAACTAAACCCTGCCTACTTGTATGTGTTTTTTATTATGAATATGGTTGTTTGCCTCCGTGTGTGTGCAGAAGCAATACACACACGGAGTGTGTACTTCAGCCATTTTCATATTTGCACTGAGCAACAAGCAGCTCAAATTGTCCACGCCTTGGAGTACAGGATTTAGAGCTTTATTTTAGAGCTAAATTTAACTGAGGAAAAGCACCACAACGAATGCAAACCACAACAGCTGCAATTTGATCGAAAACCTCCAGAGTTGGAGGAGGACAGGGACCATGTTTTTGTTTCTACAAATTTCAGCAGAGGGAGGTGAGCTGGGGCAGCGGCAGGGACGCTTGGCAGCGCTCGGCGGCTGTCCGGAGGGGTGGGCAGGGAGAGGTGCCTGTCACAGACCGGGACTCTTCGCCGGCCGGTGTGCGTAGGGCCCGATCCCGCTTGTGTCACGGACAGAGGCGGGCGGCGTGGCTGGGGGGAGGGCGAGTGGGAAAACCAAGAGGAAAACACCTCCAAGCTAAAAAAAATCAAACCTCGCAGAACCTTTGGTCACAGCTATGGGCCTGTTATAAATGCCACTTTATCTAATCTTGCCATAGAGAAGCTGATTTTCCTCCCCATCGTTTCTATATATTTTTAAATTAAGCTGAAAAGAACAGTTCAAAGGAAGCAGATGATTCTAACGAGTGGGAAAACCAAGAGGAAAACACCTCCAAGCTAAAAAAAATCAAACCTCGCAGAACCTTTGGTCACAGCTATGGGCCTGTTATAAATGCCACTTTATCTAATCTTGCCATAGAGAAGCTGATTTTCCTCCCCATCGTTTCTATATATTTTTAAATTAAGCTGAAAAGAACAGTTCAAAGGAAGCAGATGATTCTAACCATCAAAATAATTTAAACTTACAAATACTACAGTGAATTTTTGAGACACTGCCAGGAATTTTAAAAAACTTTCATCTCCGCAGTTCAGAGCATCCCCCAAGACCTTCACACCACGTACAATTCCTCACCTAGTTTCATCTCTGTCATACAAATACTTTGCAAGTGCTGGAATACCTAAATTAAAATTTATTTCTTTCAATAAGCAGAATTCAGAAGCATCTATTATAGGAAAGAAGACAAATAATCCTTAGGGCCTCGTTTTCAGAGTTTCCTTGACTTAAACTAGAACTGTATACTGGATTTTTTCAAATTATTGCTGTTCATGGGCTCTTCCATCTACTTGTTGTTCAGAACTTGAATTTATGACCATGACTTGCCAGAGTAGATTCTGTGCCATGTTTAATTTGATAATACATTGTTTGACATTTCCTTTGAGGGGCGGGGAAGAGGGGAAGGCCTTTCCTACAGCTCAACAAGATTTGAGGGGGAAAAATAAACCAAAATAAAATAAAGCCTACCCATGCCACTAATTGATTCTGATGTAGAGACAATAGCTTTTAATGAAATACTTTATAACGGTGCTGCTGAGAAAGCAGCGCAGCACAAACAGGGGCAGAAACCCCAAAACAACTCTGAAGTCCTTACAGGTATAAAAGGGCTCATTCCAGGCAAAGTCGGAGTGTATACACAGCCTTCCTCATTTTCTACCTGGAGAATGATTAGGGAGCAAACCTCCCCCGCCAACCCCGGGAGCACCCCCCCCCCGCCCCCCCCCCCCGCCCCTTTTCTGTAGCTTGTCGCTCATCCCCACATCGCAGTCTGCGTGCAGGGTAGGAGATGAGTAACACTGGGCAGAATCAAACGACGCGCCTTTCAGCCCAAAGGGCAGCGCGTGCCACTCACGAAGACCCCGATAGAAAAAAGGGGGGGAAAAAAAAAAAAAGAGGTATTTCTATACCCTCTATCCAGAAGGCTACCCTTTCATGCCAAGGAAGCAGTTAATTTCGTCTGTGCTCTGCCCCACTCTGTGGGCCCCCTGCCCGGGGTGAGGGAGCGCAGGGAGGATGGAGCAGGGCCCGCAGAGGACGCCGTGAAGTGCCACGGGGCGGGCAAGGGGGGCGCAGGGGTCTCTCTCCACCGATGGCCGAAGCAGCCCGAGGACACTGCGTCAAGCCCTGGGACAGACCA